CTAAATCCAAATCAGCAGTTCATTTCAGAGTAAAATTAAATGAGCATTGGAGGTACCTTTTGAAATAGTTAGTGCTGGGGACCACTGTGATCGTAGAATATCAAGACAAATGCTGCCATTACTGTTAATATTTGGATGATAGATTCTTGTTGTAAATGCAACCTGCAGAAGAAGGAAAATTTCAGTGTAGGCTCACAAATATACATTACACCATATGGTAATGAATAGATTTACAGTACAAGCCACTCACCTTAGGTGGTTTGAAGGGATAATCTGTTGGGAAGTGAATTGTCAAGAAAAATACTCCACCTTGATAGGGACTGTCATTCTGTTAATAAAAAAGAATCATTGCATTTTGAACAAGTTATTACAAGAAGACGAGTCAAAAAACATGAACATCAATTCTCTCATACTTACTGGTCCCATTATTGTAGCTTGCCAATGGAACACTGAAAAAGAAAAAGATTTACTTCAGTTTGGAGAAGCTCAACTAATGAACTACTTTCTTCCAGACAAAGCAGCACAGAAAACTCTATTTTAAAAACAAAGCCTTCTGAAAAGCTGCAGGGAAGCAAGCCAAAGAATTAAACAGAGACAGAGCAAAGTACTTGACACTCCACATTTACTTGGTCCATGCGTTGGGATTGCTGTGGTACCACGTACGTACCCTGCAAAAAATTCCATTACAATAAAAATCCAGGCAGCTATAGTTGACATCTACAGACTCAACAAATTTCTGAGTTCAACTTGTAGTTTCCAATGAAGCACCTGAATCAAAGTCCAGTTTCCAATGCCTGCCCTCTCAAAGCAAGCTACAGCAAAGGTACAGTATGCACTCATACCCTTCTTCGGTAGGATCTCCCCTACACAGATCCTTAGTCAAGTGGAGAGTAAGCCTAAGCTTTGTATATATCATATGTAAAGAGGTAATCTAAGCCAGTGGTACCTTGACTGAATGTTTAAGCTTAGTCTCCACAAAGGCCTCAAGGTTTCATTAAAACAGCAGAAAGCAATACAAGTCTTCAGAAAATGCAAGAATGACAGTCTGCTCAATACTTGGGACCAGGATGTGCTAGTACACACTTTAGGTCAAACAGATAAAACTTAAGTCTCACTCGTACGCATCTGTCCAAGAGAACATCTTAATCTGGTAATATAGAAGATTCATGATCAATGTCTTTATGCTGCAGAACATAAGGAAAACAATCAAAGCTGTTAATCTGTACGATGCACATTAGGAAGTTCTCAGGGTTCCTGTGTTCTCCAAAAGCTCTAATGCTAGCCTACGCAAAGAGCACCAGCTTCGCAAATTATTTGTGAAAGTGTGCCACAGGAAGTTTCCTCTCTGCATGGACATCAGCAATATCACATCTTCAGAACTGAGGAGCTGTACAGAAGACTCCAATTGTTGCAAGGTAAGTCTTCAAGACACAGAAGTTGAAGCCACCTGCAGCTGTGTACTTAACTTGCAATTGGTGTCTACAGCTTTCAAGACTACCTCGGCCAAAATTACAGAGTGGCATTACTTGTTCTAATCTAGCATGAGCAGTTTTTAATTACATGTGGTACAGACATTACAGCTGGGAATGATCCCATACAAGGGGGGGGGGGCGGGAAGCAGAGTGGGAACAGCCCTGCCAAGGCGAGGGGAGAAGAGTGTTTGGTTAGAGCTGCAGGTTTGTTACAAAGGGTATTGCAGCTGGTAACACCAGCTAGAGAAACTCTACATTCAACATAGATCAGGAAATCAAGACAGTGGCTCATGTGTTCACAGGCAGTCTTCACCCATTTTAAAAGGGTTCAGACAGCTTTACAAGAAGTCCCTATCACCTGCAGCAGGACAGTGAGAAACCTAGAACAAGAGGACAAAGCGGGAGCCGAAACCCAGCAGTGAAGACTGTGGCTAGTCACAGAAAAACCACCAAGAACTTCACAGGCATCAGTAGATGCTGATAAAATTCATCATGACTGCACTGGACCTTAACATGTATACCTCTGCACACTGAAAATAAGAGTTGATATAACCAACTATTCTCTTAAACCCAACAGGAAACCAGAAAGAAAAACCCTTTCACGGTGAATCTTAACATTATACAAGCTAGAAGGGTGGGTTGGTTGGTTGGGGTTCCCCTCCTCCACAACTCCCACCCCAGACTCAAGGAAAGTGTTTGTTTAACCTAAGTTTTAGATTCTCACAACATCCAGGACAAATTTGATGAACTAAAAAAAGATGGATTTGTCATGCAGAGTTTATTTCCATTGATTCTTTACTTTGAAATCAGCCATTCAAAAAGTTATTTACAAAGTAAAGGGGTTGCTGACTTTCAGTAGCTAATCACAAGTACATGTTTGGAAGTGAACTAAGCCATTGCATAGCACTCTGGAAGTATACTAGTACAATCCAGTCCCAAGCATATTTCCAAAACAAAGGCCAGAGGTGAGTGGAAGAGGGCTAGAACTACATTACCAATAAAATCCTATCCCTACAGTTAACAAGGCAGAAACAGCTCTTCACTTTCCAAGGACAACCAGCTCATAACTGGGGCCAGTTTACATCAGTTGAACTAGACACAAGATACCACTTTGCAAGCACAGCATGTCCTGAACTCAGAGAAACATCACTCTGACGAGGCAACTGAGGCAGACCTAGGGCACTGCGACCTCAGAGAAGGCACCTTTTTGTTGCTGCCACTGCTATCCACTTAACATACACCCAAAGTGTTGCTCTCAGTAGTGAAAGTCTTTCATTAGAGGTCTTTCAAAAAGGTGGCAGAGGAGAAGAATGTAGTATTAAAGCTTTCTGTACGCAGTAGTAACTTTCCATTATAAGCACCACCTCCTCCACAAGATGACCTCCATCACCTTTCATAGCCTTTGGAAACTATGAAGTAGTTTATCACAGCACAAATCACACTTGCAAATTTAAGGGAAGAAAAGCCTCAGACTGGCTCTGCATCTTAGTAATCTCTTTTCCATGAAACTACAAGCTGCTTTGAAATACTATTTTGAAGGTAGAAATAAGTTGTGGAGTACCTAGAAGCTTGACACTACTGCTAAAAACTCTCAAAACCAAGCACAGCTTTCACTTGTTTGAAAGCATTGCTGAACTCCGCTAATTCCAGTATTTCCATTCTCAGGTTTCAAGTGCCTTTTTTTAAACCTAGTCCTACATTTCTATAGCAATGTGTAAGTTTCTGCATGCTTCAGCACTTCTGAATAGTTCAGAAATGATTCAGAAAGATCTTGGCAGCTAATTTCTTCCTTTTAGAAAGGATACCTAAGGTTAGAGCTCTTAGCGCACAGACGGAGGGTTTCCCTACTTAAATCTCTTACTCTCATGAGCTTGGATGCTTTGCTAAACAGCACACTTGTCAGAGACCATGTTGCACAGCAAGTTCAATGCATGCTGTTCAATGGGCATCCCATTCAAAGCTTCCACATGTTCTTATGTAGCCTTTTCTAGGCAGCACAGCTGCTACAAGAAAGTGTAAACACATTCCCTCATCTCATGCATTTTATGCCTTAAATGCCAACGCATTTAATGCATAACGCAAGTACTCGAGTTTATCCCAGTGCTCAGCGTAAAGTTAAAGCAAAAGGTGAATTTGCAAGTGTTCTTGTCTCACTGCAAACACCCTACTGACCTTGCTCACCTAAGCTATGACCAAGAGTTTAATGCTGCTATAAAAAAAATAGTAGTTCACCAGAAGGTATAAAATCCTATTTAACATGAAGACTGTACAGCTTGCAAAACCACTACAGTTTAAAGGCCTCTCCGAAAACCACCACAAAGTACAGGGCAACACTTAAGCTGCCTTATTCACAGCTAATCAAAGCAGATTGGGGAACATTACCTACAACTAAGATAAAGAAGCATCCATATAAACACCATTAAGTCAAGTCACATGATATATCTCGCCCTCCTCCCCAGGCAAAAATACATGCCCAAGATGACAGTAGATCTCCCTACCATAAAACAATTTAGACAAAAAAATTCAGGGTAGGACTTTAAAGAATAACTGCTTCTTTTCTGCTTTAACAGAGCTCCTAGAGCTTCAAAAGGACAGAATGACAACTCCAAACCACACACCAGGTGAACAACCTTGCACAGGAAAGATGACCAGCTGATGTGTAGGTCAAAAAGATCATCCTAGGCTACTTCTTATATGGAAGCAGGCAGGGCCAACTGATTTGAGTACAATTTTCAAACACTACAGTACCATGTGATTTAAGGATGCTCCACCTGCACTTCCCATCTCATACCTAAGCAGCTATGTCCAAATCAAGAGACAAGTTAGTCTTGACTGCAGGATTTAGACACTCTTATTTTGTTTGAGAAAGCCACAAGTAGTATTCCAAATTGAGTAAAATCCTGCTTAAAAATTAAAAAAAAAATCTAACATTGCTTCATGATTCAAGCTTTAATTTACTATCTAGTTTTCCTAACATTCGCATTCTAACCTCTTATCCCCAAGGACTACATTTAACTCTCTTGAAAATAAACGCAGTGTTAACTAACTCCTGTGTAAAACAGAGTTAACCCTGACCTTGCTGTACTAGCATTTAGTATTAGGAGTAGACTGTTTTACTTCTACAGGACCATGTGACTACACCATATGCAGTTTAGATATCAAAGTAGTTCAGAAAGCTGTATGCAGCTGCTTGCTGGTTTGGCCATGCAGCTGCTGAAGTTTACAAACTTCATGCCCTGCAAGAATGCCAGAACAGTTAATTCAAAAGGTGTAACTTAAGACATCCTCAGTGCACAGAGTTGCCACAGAGTTGCCCCATCAATAAAATGGGAGTAACACAGATCTCCAGTGATACACAAGGAAGGTATTAAGAGATATAGAAGGGCAACAAATTTAAGATTAGTACGTGGAGTAGTATGTAGCACTCTAACCAAAAGAAACAGGGTTCTCCTCGCTAAGGAACTGGACATCCTGTTTTAGAAGAAAAAGGGAAAAAATTAGACTGCAGGAGTTTGCTGATAGTAGGATACTCACTGTCATCACCATTTTTCTGAACACTGTGCTGGAGGATCACGTGCCAGATCATTCAACTCCTAAAAAACAGGAACAGTTTAGTTAATTTAATTTCAAAAACAATCATGTTCTTGCTAAAAAAGTTGCTGGTGGCACTTTGGCTATCATTCTTGCTATAGCGAGTTTCCTGAAACCACAAGAATAGCAGCACCACAAAACTAATAGCCAGGACCCCAGAAAGCAAAGTTGCATCTTAAATCCAGACAACGCATTTGGCATATGCATCGGTTACCTCTCCAGGATTCCACACAGTCTTAAGTCACAGCAATCCTCATCAATTCATAGGGTCTATCAGGTTTGCCTTCATTGATAATAGAACTTAAACAGATCCCAAATATTATGAAGGTAGTATTCATTCCATTATCTCCAGGTCACAGAGAGATAAGATGGCCTCAATCCAACAACTCTCAGTATTAGCCTTATTTTATCTCCTGTATTGTAACAGCTCCCAGGTTGCTCCAGCTATAGCGATCTAGTTTACCACCTCAAGCCTGCAGTAGCTTTTTTGCAGCATACAAAACTACAATAACCCATGGTTGTTTCATCTCCAGATGTTTCCATCAGTGAATATAGGTGCTTAAATGGAATAAAACACAAGGTCGTCTGTACCTATAGAATTGGTAGCCCACAAATAGAAATCCTCACTTTTCAAGCAGCTGTGTCAGTCAAATTTTCTTCCGAAGAAATCCTATTATGAGTCTCAACTGCTCTGGCCAAACAGGTTGAGTAATTCAGAACACTTCTGAAATACCAAGTTTCAATTTGAAGCAAAATTTCAGCCCAGATCAGAAAGAGTCCACACATCGTCACCAGTAACTCACATTAGCAATTTGCTCAGGAAGTGGGCATTTAGTGGGAAGTGCAAACAGAGTAAAACTTTAAAGTCAAACTTTGTCTATGCTATTTCTGGCTCAGTCACTGACCTGCTTCGCATGATGGGCTCAAACATACTAACTTTTTTCTGTGCTAGCTCAGTCTAGAAAGCTAAACATAAACACCACACAACCATTATAAGGACGACTAAATCTAGCATTCAGGAAACACTCCCATGCTGTCCCTAGCCCGCTGTGCATTCAGCTTTTCACCTCGCAGCCTACGCAGGTTACCGGCAACAGTCCACAGTAGAGTCTCACACCAGACTTACCTGAAGCTTTCAATAGACAGAACACTT